ATCACGTATATGTATAAGATTTGCATTTCCAGGTAGGGGGCAGCGCACCACCCTACCCACACCACCATTGGCAGCTAGGCATGTCAATTACCAGTTCCCAGCCATAGATTTCCCACCGGTACCCAGCGATCGCCGTGCAATGCTGACAGGGGAGAGACCTGTGTGTAAATAACACAGATCTCTCTCCTGCCTGCAAGGACATGCTGCTGTGTATTTCTCTACACTGCAGAGAAATACACAACAGCATATTTCCCTAGTAAAACACACAGCACACTGTTAACACTTTGATCGCCCCAGATGTCATTAGTACAGTGTCAGTGCTTTTTATTAGCACTGATCACTGTATTAGTGTCATTGGGATGTCAGTGGCAGTTAGTCAGTTCCCACCCAGTGTCAGAATGCCCGCTGCAGTCCCGCTATAAGTCACTGATCGCCATCATTACTAGTATAAAAAAAAATAAAAATTCCAGTATCTATACTGCCATTTGTACACGCTATAACTTTCACATAAACCAATTAATTTACACATATTGGGATTTTTTTTTAGCAAAACACTTGTAGCAGAATACATTTTGGCCTAATTTCATCATAATTTATGATGAAATTTGATTTTTACATTTTTTTTACTGGATATTTTATAGCAAAAAGTCAAAAATATTTTTTTTTTTTTTTTTGCAAAATTAGCGGGCTTTTTTTTGTTTATAGCGCAAAAAAATAAAAACCAAACAGGTGATCAAATACCACTGAAAGAATGATCTATTTGTGGGGAAAAAAGGACATAAAATTTCACGCAATTGTCAGTTAAAGTAACGTAGCACCAGATCGCAAAAAATGGCCTGGTCAAGATGGAGGGTAAATCCTTTGGAGGGCAAGTGATTAAACATCAAAAACAAAATTATAATTTAGTGTAATATATTCTCATATGCCAATATCATGAGCCAAAATGCGTGCACTCACATTCGATCGATGTGTGAGTGCCAAATAACACCCAGTGCTCACAATACTGCCAATCTTCCTTTTCTCAAATGCCCTTACCAAACACAATAGATCATCTTATCATATATCCGCTTCCCTTCCAGAGACGTCCTGGTACGTTACTGGGTTGGAAGGGTAATATCTCGGTCATCTCTGCAGCTGCAGCTATGATCGAGATATCAGTTTTTGGGGGGACAGCAATTCCCTACAATGTAAAGGTAAGAAGCCACTGGATTACTTTTACAGGTGGCAGAAGGGGGTCCCCCCCCACCACCTTTACCAGGCTCTCCTGTGCTATCGGGGAGCCTGGTAATGATGCAATCAGTGGCATTTGAGTGAGAAAACAGATGCTGTTCCTCCTACAGTGTGAAGTCAGAAACCAGAAGTGACGAGAATTTCGGCCCCTCTGGTTTTGGTCTCATATAAACAATGCCGTTACTGGCTTGAACAAGCATCTGATCAAACCGATCTTCTTTTGAACAGATGCTTTGGAGGTCAAAGGAGAGATATGGCCCCAGATCTCTCCATAACGAGGACCTGTCATGACCCATACTATCACAAGAAATGCTGTTCATCCCTTATGATAGCAATAAGAAGTCAAAAGAAAATTAAAGATACAGTGTACATTTTTTTTTAATAAAATAAGTAATAACATTTTTTGCAGCGAATGGGAATATATGATAAGAGACAGTGTTTGGTAAGAGTATTTGAGACAGGAGGAAGAACCGTGAGCACTGGGTGTTATTTGGCGCTCACTCATCGATCGAATGTGAACAAACTAATTTTGGTTCATGAGATTGGCATATGAGAATATTATTATTATTATACAGTATTTATAAAGCGCCAATAGTTCGCTCAGCGCTGTACATTACAGAGAACATGTGACAGAACAATACCAATACAATGCAAAACATGAGGGGATCGAGGGCCCTGCTCTTTCGAGCTTACAATCTAGGAGGGAGGGGATGGTGGCACAGGAGGAGATAGCTGTGGGGGATGGAGTGGTAGGAAGAGTGGAGGAGGTCGGCAAGTTAGCAGGGGGCGGGGTAGGCTTCCCTGAAGAGATGGGTTTTCAGGGTGCGCCTAAAGGAGAGGAGAGTAGGTGATAATCTGATGGGTTGGGGCAGGGAGTTCCAGAGGATGGGTGACACCCTGGAGAAGTCCTGGAGGCGGGCATGGGAGGAGGAGACCAGGGAACTAGAGAGAAGGAGGTCTTGTGAGGAGCGGAGTGTGCGTGCTGGGCGGTACTTGGATATTAGGTCAGTGATGTAGTTCGGGGCAGTATGGTGGACGGCTTTGTATGTCAGTGTTAGGATTTTGAATTTGATCCGTTGCGCAATCGGAAGCCAGTGGAGGGATTGGCAGAGGGGGGTGGCAGAGATGGAGCGGTTGGAAAGGTGAATGAGTCTGGCAGCCGTATTCAGGATGGACTGAAGCGGGGATAGCCAGCGGCGAGGCAGGCCAGTGAGGAGGGAGTTGCAGTAGTCGAGTCGTGATATGATGAGGGAGTGGATGAGCTGTTTAGTGGTTTCTGGAGTTAGGAACGTGCGGATTTTGGCGATGTTGCGGAGGTGGAGTCTGCACGAGTTTGTTAAAGAGTGGACTTGGGGCTGGAAGGATAGGTTGGAGTCCAAAATGACACCAAGTACTCTGGCCTGCGGGGCGGGTTTGATGGTGGCGTTGTTGGACATGATGGAGAAGTCAATGGGGGGTGGTGTCCGGGCTGGAGGGAAGACAAGAAACTCGGTTTTGGAGAGGTTCAGTTTAAGGAAGTGGAGCGACATCCAGTCTGATATGTCGCTCACCAGGTGTGTGATTCGGGCGGAGACCGAGGGGGTGAGGTGGGGGGTTGAGAGATAGATTTGTGTGTCGTCGGCATAGAGGTGGTAGTTGAAGCCGTGAGAGTGTATGAGTTGGCCAAGGGAGGAGGTGTAGATGGAGAAGAGAAGGGGCCCGAGGACAGAGCCTTGAGGGACCCCAACAGAGAGGGGGAGTGAGAGGGAGGTGGTTGCATTATAGGTAATGCTGAAAGAGCGTTGTGACAGGTAGGATGAGAGCCAGGAGAGAGCAGAATCTCTGAGGCCGAGGGAGTGTAGTTTTTTGAGGAGGAGGGGGTGGTCGACTGTGTCAAAGGCCGCAGAGAGGTCAAGGAGTAGGAGCACTGAATAGTGGCCATTAGCTTTGGCGGTTAGCAGGTCGTTGGAGAGTTTGAGTAAGGCAGTTTCGGTGGAGTGTAGGGGACGGAAGCCGGACTGTAGGGGATCGAGGAGGTTGTTGTCGTTGAGGTGAGAGCATAGGCGGGCGTAGACTAGGCGCTCGAGGAGTTTAGATGTAAATGGGAGCAGGGAGATGGGTCTGAGGTTGTTCGGGTCATTGGGGTCCAGGGAGGGCTTTTTAAGTATGGGGGTGATGTGTGCATGTTTCAGAGGGGAAGGGAAAGTGCCGGAGGAGAGGGAGAGATTGAAGATGTGGGTGAGGGAGCGTAGGATGGAGGGGGAGGGAGGTTGTAGGAGTTGTGAGGGGATAGGGTCGAGGGGGCAGGTGGTGAGGCGGGCATCAGAGAGGATCTTGGAGACTTCTTCGATGGTAGTAAGGTCAAAGGTGCGGAGTGTTGGGGGAGCTTCAGTATGAGGAATGTAGGGTGGGGTGGGAGAGGAGGTCAGAGCAGTGGTGGGGCCGTGGGAGAGGGGTGTAGAGGGGGTAGCTGAGTGAGGGGGAAGGGGGTTGGAGGGAGTTTGAGCAGCGACGAAGTCCCTGTGGGTTATGTCGAGGGGGAGGGGGGATGAGGGGGTAGCTGTGTGAGAGGGGACGGGTTGAGAAGGCGTGTGAGTTGCGGCAATGTCCTTGCGAATTGTGTCAATCTTGTTTTTGAAGTGATTGGCAATCTCAAGGGCAGTGAGTGAGGTGCTGGGTAGAGGTGGGGGTGGCGAGAGTAGAGAGTTGAAGGTGGAGAAGAGTCGGCGAGGATTGGAGGAGAGGGCCTTGATGAGGGTCAGGAAGTAGGCTTGTTTGGCTGCGTGGAGGGAGGAGGTGTAGGTGTGGAAGGCAGATTTGTATCGGGTGAAGGCTTGTTGGGATTTGGTTTTGCGCCATAGTCGCTCCAGGGCACGACTGTGTCGTTTGAGGGTTTTGGTGTGATCAGTCTGAATATGCTACAGTATATTGTATTTTTGATGTTTCAAATACTACTTGGGAGGAACAGCGCAAGATGAAGAAATAAGAAACATTGCAATGGTTGTTTCAATCAAGCTTTATTTTGAGGCGCATATGTGAGAAGTCAACACACCTGGTGAGAACCGTAAGGATTCTGAGAAATTTAGCAAATGTGACAATTTTTAAACTTTTAGTGCTGGTTTATGTTGGTACAAGATCAGTGTACTGATGTTTCTCCACCCCCAACTATCAGAGCCCTTTATGCAGCTGAGAACAGAGGCTATGTGAATGAAAAAAGGTATTTATAATATATTATATATATATATATATATATATATATATAATATAATATACAGTATACACACACACAAGCTTTGCCTTTCATTTCTATTTTAAACTAAATGAGTTGCTTTGCAAGACGAGGGTTTACATATTCATGAAGAGATCTGCGTCATAAATGGTCCTGCAAGCACCATCCTGCTCAATGACAGTCAATTTAAAAATTAAGTGATCCATGTGTAGAATTATTGGAAGAACAGTGACTGTATTCTATCAGATACAGTCACTGTTCCTGTATTCTGGCAGCCATGGGTGCTGCCTAAATACAAAATCCCTCACTAGGGATTCTTCCATTTACCCAATTTAGTTTGGATGAGGGAATCAATTGATTTTCTTTAATTTGGCCTGCAGGCTGAATAAGAGAATTCTAGCTGTGTATGGCTAAGTTGATTTCTTTTATATTCTTCTAATACAGTACAAGATTGGGATAGAAGAGACAAAGAGCACTGAGATTGATTTTCACTTGCTAATTTTCTGAGTCATAAATTGTAGCTGGTGAATGTAAAACTCACTATTCTTACTTTTATATTTAGATTCCACAAAGAAAGAGCCACGATGGAATTTTTGGAAGTACCTGGTTAACCCTCAGGGCCAAGTAGTGAAAATCTGGAGACCAGAGGAACATTTTGACAGTATAAAAGGCGATGTGGCAGCACTGGTCAGGGAAATTATCAAGAAGAAAAGGGAAGACCTTTGAATTTCTGAGCAATGTGGACTGTGAAAGGGGAATCTGTGATGTTTTATACAGGAGAACTCTATCCACTTACAAAAATTCAGTTTGTGATGGCACTCGACAAGAAGAGGATGAACTCCAAAAGTGACTTACATAGAGTCTAGTGTTCTGGGTGGTCTCACCATGTCTGTGCACACCCACCACTTACTGCCCCATAGTGCACAATTGATGAGAGTCAAGCAAGGAGCTATTAGGCCCCGTTCACATCTGGCGTTATGGGATATCAGGCAGAATAACTGCAATTCTGCCTGCGTTTTCAAATCACACTGCAATAGTGGCAAAACGCACATACATTTTCGCACTGTTTATCGTGTGGAAAAAACACAGCACAACCTCACAGCATTTAGATGCCATTGAAAATGAATGATACCACTTGTGTGGTACATTTTACCACTATTGCAGTGTCGTCTTGAGATTGCAGGCAGAATCACAGCGAATCAGCCTAAGATCCCAAAACACCAGATGTGAAAGGGGCCTAAAACATTTGCATGATTACATTTGTCTTCCAAATTGATGTTTCCTTATGAAAAAACATTAAAGTGTAAGTTCACCTTTTCTTATAAAAAAATAAACAAAATGGCAAACTAACAGCCGACAGCCTCTCCATCCCCATGCTGTACTTGCCTCCATGGGTGATGAGCTGTCAATGCCCATGTAGTCATTGCAGCAGTCCAGGGATTTTAAATCCCTGTTCTTTCTCCCACTTCTTTCTGCAGGGCTTCTGGCACAGATCATATTGATTCTGACTGGTTAGTGTTGGCACAAAACATCGCACTGATCCGTCTCAGAACCGCTGCAGAAAAAAGAGGGAGAAGAACGAAGATTTCAAACCCTGGACTGCTATGTGGGATCCAGAGGTAAGTACAGTGGGGACCAGGGGGATGCGGAGGGTGTACCATGTTTACTTTTTTCACTTTTTCTGAAAAGGTGAACTAACCCATTAACTCCTCCTTTCTGACAAATTTCACAATAAAGTCATAAAGGGAAAGTATACTGCATTTTCATTGAGAACGGTTTTGAGTTATTATGGTGGTGCTTGTTCTTCAATACTTTGGTTATTGCATTAAATATAAGGATTTGTAAATTAGCCATGAGGGGGCGCACTCATTGAGTTAATTCACGGGTGTCAAACTGGTGGCCCTCCAGCTGTTGCCAAACTACAAGTCCCATGAGGCATTGCAAGATTGACAGTTACAAGCATGACTCCCAAAGGTAGAGGCATAATGGGACTTGTAGTTTTTGCAACAGCTGGGGGGCCGCCACTTTGATACCCCTGAGTTAATTGAATCACTCTGTCATCTGTTTAACAATTGTTGAGATAAGATAGCAGCCATAAAGAGAGTGCATTGTTTTCAGGAAGTCGGTAAACCCATAGACTAGGGCAGGGGCGGACTGACAACTCATGGGGCCCCCGGGCAATAGGGGATCATGGGGCCCCTGTGTCCTTGCCCAAACTCAAAAAAGCCTATTAAAAAGGTAGCAGGGGCATCTCATGGGGCCCCCTACTGACCCTGGGCCCTCGGGCAGTGCCCGAGTTTCCAAACGGTCAGTCCACCCCAGGACTGGGGAGAGCCCGGGTACATACTGAGTATGGTGGTCCCAGATATGTATATTTAAAATAGAATAGAAGGGTTCTGAAACATAGATGAGATTATGTACATAAAGCTTGTCTTTACTATTTCTTTATCAAAAAAAAAGGAAAAGACTATACAGTATATTAGCTTTTACTTTGTATATACAATTTATCATTAGTATTGTTCCCTTGAATATTTGAGGTGTTCGGTGCGACTGTCATAAAAGAACTGTAGATACATGGGGGTATTTACTAAAACTGGAGAGCGCAAAATCTGGTGCAGCTCTGCCTAGAAACCAATCCGCTTCCAGGTTTTATTGGTATGTATTTTGTCAAAGCTTAAAGTGTTACTAAACCCAGGACCCTGCATTCACTATATCTGGTATCCTACAGTACACAGAACATGGAAGTGCAATTATTTACTGGTTAAAGCTTGCAGGAGGAATTTTCTTTCTGCTCTAGGAGGATGCAGAACCCCTGACTTTCTGTCTGGATAGTGCTGATTGGCCCTGTGCTGATCACATGCACTCTCTCAAAAAGAAAAAAAAAAACTCTCTAGCAATACACACTAAACTGAGCATGTGCAGAGTGTCTCCACGATATGTCTTATCAGGAGATAAGAGGGGGACAATGGAAGAAAGGGAGGATCAGAGAAGTCAGGATCAAAAGCATTTTTACACAGTGCAGAGGATTAACCCCTTAGATTCCACAGTGAGTATAACAATCATGCTTTCCTGCATATACACACTGATGTAACTGTTGTGGGTTTAGTAACACTTTAATTGAACAAATTGAAGTTCTGAAAGAAGAATGTGATTGGCTGCCATGCACAGCTGAGCCAGATTCTGAGTGCACCACTTTTAGGAAATCTTCCCCCATGGAAACTGCTTTATCAAAATTTGGCAGAGTTTCTGCTGGATCATCTGAAACTCAAGCCATGGGTGGTCCTGTCAGCACCACCCAACTTGACAAAAGTTAATTTTCAACCGACTTTTGTTGAAGTAGCTAGATGGAAATTTGTTGGACAATGCAGTCAACCTCCTGTGTTCAGAATGCAGCAGGACAGCCACCAGCACAGGACCCAGAAGAAAGTGGAGATCATTGTCTTAGTGGTGTCTACTTACATTGGTCCAAGCTGGACTATTATAACTATATATGAAATATCTATATATATATATATATATTCCATATACCTGGAACTCCTCTTTAACTGCATACTTACTTCCAGTTTGGCACAATGTAAGTATGCATATTTCATATCTCAAGGACCACTATGGAAGACGAAATTACTAAAGTAGTCGGTGCTACTACCATGATTGGTGCAATTTTCTGGGTCCTGTACCAGGCAGCTTTACTCTGCCACAAGGGATGGCTCACACAGCTGCCATTCACAGAATGCCTTGAATTTTTTTTTTCAATGAATACTAAGCATTTTCCAGCTAGATGAGTGGAGATTAGGGGTGTACCGAAATTTTGGTGGCCGAAACGTTTCGGACGAAAACACCTCTATCGGCCGTTGGCTGATATGAAAATAAGCACCGATACAATGCTGAAAAAACCCCGCCCCCTCACCGCTGCTGTCACCCACTGCCTCTCAGTGGTTTTCAGCTTTTCCTGAGAAACCACCGAACGATCCCGGCGCTGAGCATAGAGATAAGTGAAGGAAAGATGGCCTCCACTCTTCTCTATGCCCTTGGAGGACCAAAGCGATGTCACTTCCATTTGCAGCGCCTAGTAAACAAGGCCCTTTTTTATTTTTAAGCACTAGATCAATGCTTTTTTTGATCTAATGTTTTACATTGTAGAGGGGAGATGTGGGGTCTTATTGACCCCATATGTCTCCATAAAGAGAACCTGTCACTAATTATTTCTATCACAAGGGATACATGCATTCCTTGTGATAGGAATAGAAGTGATTAACATATTTTTTAACGGAACAGAGTAAAAAAAAAAAAAAATTAAATAAAAAAAATGTTTAAAATGCCCCCATCCCCCCCGTGCTTGCATGTAGTGGTGAACGCATACGTAGGCCACTTTCACATATGAAAATAGTGTTCAAACCACACAAGTGAGGTATCGCCATGAACGTCAGAGCAAAAACAATAATTCTAGCACTAGACTTACTCTGTAACTTTACACTGCTAACCTGTAGAAATTTTTAAAGCATCACTTATGGAGATTTTTAAGTACCGTAGTTTGACGCCATTCCACAAGCGTGTGCAATTTTAAAGCATGACATGCTGGGTATCTATTTACTCGCCATAACATCATCTTTCATATTTTACAAAAAAATGGGGTATATATTGTGGGGGTTTTTGAATCATTAATGTGTATTGTTTTCCAAAATATAGATATTAATCTTTAAAAACTGTCCATTTCAGTTTCGTTACCAGAATTGGTTTCGGCATCCGGAATTTCGGTTTTTCATTTCGGTGCACCACAAGTGGAGATCATAATGTCACCGCCACTCCTCTTCATTTCATCCAATCAGAGTACTCCTTGATGACTGTGCTAGATGAGTGACCCCCTGTGGTCAGTGTGCTAAAGGGAGGCTGCTTAGCACAGGATCCAGAAGATCACAATGATTACTGCTATGATATTGTATGTACATGCTAACGTTAGCCCTAGTTGCAACATCATACCAAGATCACACATGGAGTTCATCTTTACCACTGCAAAAAGTCAATTGCTCAGTGAAAAAGCCATAAATCACTGGAATCCCTGTGAAACATTCCTTTCATTGACTACAGGCAATGTTAAAATATCACTCAAGAGACACAGCCCTCAGGGTTTGTTGGCTTGTTCTAGTGATGCACAATATGTAGCTGCTCTATAAAGGAGTAAAATAACCCCTTTACTTTTGGGCTTTAAAGCAGTAGTAAACTCAAACTTTAAACTTGTATCTACAGATAAGCTTACAATTAGAATAAGAATAACTGCTAAACATGCACTATTTAGGAGCTATTCACATTGGCAATAGCCGATGATGTCATCTGTGCATGCACAATGACGCTCTACATTACCAGCACACAGTGACGTCATCACGGGCCCAGACATTCAAATGGCCAAAGCACACAAATCCTAAAGGAAGACCAGGTGAAGATGGAAGCACCATCAGCAGTGACAGTGCACTGCAGGAGGGGCTTCATTTGAAAGGTAAATCTGCCATAATGTGGTAGATTTACTAAAATTGATGCACTCAGAATCTGGTGCAGCAATGCATGGTAGCCAATCAGCTTTTAACTTAGCTTGTTCAATTAAGCTTTGGCAATGAAACCTGGAAGCTGATTGGTTTCTGTGTATAGTTGCTGCATGCTCCAGCTTTAGTAAATAACCCCCAATCTGCTAGTATGCAGTGCATACTAGCATGTTACGGCATTAACCTGGAGTC